TTGACATAGGGGTTTAAAATTTTGCTGAAATAATCTTCCATTACAGAATAAATGTTAAAAATTCATTGATATGGTGTAAGAACTGTAATGTATACAAATGTATTGTGCTTATATGCCATGATTACTTTCGATTAAAAAAATATTGAATTACACTGTTCCTGTATCTTAGCATCAGATGATCCAACCTGCAAATCAAAGTGAAATAACTCTTCAGAGACCGGCACCCATCACCAATCACCCTTTATTTTACAAATGCGTATCCTTTAACAATAGCACTGCCTTTCACTGAATCGGGTATATAAAGTCCCAATATCCTTCTCACCTTAAACCTATGCCCCCTAGTATTTGATATTTGCACCCTAGGAAAAAGACTCCACCTTATCCATGCCTCCCATAATTTTATATACTTCTATCAGGTCACCCCTCAGCCTCCAACATTCTGGTTAATACACTCCAATCTCTCCTTATAGCTAATACACTCCAATCCAGGCAACATCCTTAGAAAACCTCTTTTGCACCCTCTGCAATGCTTCCATATCCTTCTCATACTGTGTTGACCACACAATACGTCAAATGTGGCTGAACTTTACTTTTACACAGCTGTAATATGACTTGCCAACATTGATACTCAATGCCCTGAACGATAAAGGCAAACATGCTGTACATCTTCATTATTTTTCCTTATTAATTGGGAAAATGTTTACGGAGACTGCCAATCCTTGCTCCTTTTCCCATGTCAACTCTCTGACCAATCAGAGACTAGCTGTCAGATCTGAGGTTAATCAGTTAGCTGAGGTTAACAGTTAACAGATTCTACTGCATCACTATGCCACCCATCATCCAACCAATCAGCACCCTCTGCTCATGCTATATAAATTGGTGTTCCCTTTCAAGCATTTGTTTCTGATGTTCCAGTCCTGATGAATACAATTTGAAAACCTTTGACTTTGTCTCTTTTTAGCGATGAATAGTCTGGGCCTCTGGATTTCTAGTCCGGTGATGTTACCACTACACCACTGCCTCCTCACATGAAGCAAATGCATACAGCGTTATGAGAATATCGAGAAATTCTGGGGCAGGATTATGTGGGCTCAGGTTCTGCCTTGAGGATAACTATTCCTTTATTCCCTTCAGTTTTTCACTTAAAGAACAGCTGATCCTGAGGGGCACAAATAAAGAAAGTCAACCTGGTGAAATTCATAAGTTCTTTTTCTCGACTAGATAGAAAAATGAATAATATGAGAAGAAATGTGAAGTTCCCCAGGGATCCATGTTGAGTCCCATACTCTTCTTGAATAATAGTAACGAATAGGCATTGCTGTAGAGGGCACAATTCCAAAATTTGTGGATGATACATGACCTGGAAGCATTGGAAACTGTGTGGTGGATAGTTTAGAACTTCAAAAAATAAAGGCAAATTGGTCAAATGAGCAGACAAGTTACACATGAAATGTAAGGGACTGTGAAGTGATTTATTTTGGAAGGAAGAACATGGAAAGACAATTCTAAAGGGAATGCAGGAGCTGAGGGACCTGGGTTTGTATGTGCATAAATCATTGAAAGTTTACAGGACATCTTGAGAGCACAGTTAATAAAACACACAGTATACTTGGCTTCATTAGTAGGGGTGAAAAGTATAAAAACAAGAAAGTTATTACAATATGCAGAGCACTGGTTCAGCTTCAACTGCAGCTCCAGTTGAGGGTGCCACGTTTCAGGAAACATGTGAAAACATTAGATAGAATGCAGAAAAGTTTTACAAGAATGCTCCCAGGGATGAGGGACTTTTGTTATGAAGATATATTGGAGAAGTTGGTACCAATAGCTAATAACTGTACTAATTGGTGGAAGGCACAAGAACAAGCAGACGCAGATTTAAGGTAGTTTTCACAATAAACATTGGGGACCTGAGGAAAATCTTTTCAACATTAATGTATTGTTTGTGTCTGGAATTCACTGCCTGAGAGTGTGATGAAAGCAGGCTCAATTAAGACTTTCAGGAGAGAATTGATTTGTTATCTGAAGAGGGAAAATGTACTGATCTACAGGGAGAATGCAGGGTAGAATAGCAAAAGGTAAATCACTCCTTTAGAGAGCTGGCACAGACACAGTTGGCTGAATGCCTTTTGCTGTGCTGTAATAATTCCGTGTTCTGCGACTCTGAAATTGTGCCAAAAAGTTTTCAAACATGGCCATCTGAAATTCTTTTTTACTATTTCATTTATTCAGATGATTGATCGTTATTCACTAACTTAGGTCTTATGCAAATGTATTAATTAAGCTATTTGCTTCTTCCTGCTATTATCAGACTTTTGAATGGGCCTCTCAAATGTTAATGTTGATCTCTCTCTCTGCACCTTCTCTGTGGCTGTCAAGCGGTATTCTACATTCAGTTCTGCTGCCCGGATACACTTTACCTGTATGGCATGCAAAACAACACTTTTCACTGTATCTCAGCACATGACAACAATAAATTAATGATTCAATCGAATGGTCAGGACCGTTATTTTGCTTAGGTACCTTGGTAAACTAATTTTATTATGAAAATTAGAATAACACTGATATTATCCCTGCTAACTATCTCAACAATGTTTTGGGCATAGATAGCCTGAACTGCAGTTGACTTTTCTCATCACTTTTTGTTTCTCATGCACACTTGTATGGAAGAGTACCTTGTAAAACAAGTCTGTTTTAAGGCACACATTAGTATTACAAATTTCTTAACATTGCTCTTTAAACAATGGTGAATGTTTCCACTAACTGTAAAGTCTCATGGACAAACCACCTTGAAACCGTAATCATTGTGGAATTATTTTGTCTAGCTTCATATTTGTTGTTTACCAACCTTTTATGGTTATAACTTTGTCATGAGAGTACTAAGATTTGGTCTATCAATGTTTAAACTTTCATCATTTGATTTTTATCGAGTTTTCAGGGACTAAAGTGTTTTTAAAATGAAAACTATTGACCTGAAATGTCTGCAGCAATTGTCTAACCAATTTGGTTGAGGCAAGTTCAGGAAAATTATGTGGAATAAGCAAAATTGATTTCAATACTGACAACCAAAATTGAAACCAGTCACTCATTCAGATGTTGGGAAATTGGCATCTCCTTTTTCAATTTGCATTTTGCCTGATAAGTGGCACATATTATACATGAAAGGTGCCTGCAAGATTATTCAGTTTAGAAGAAAACAATGAAGTAAGACACAGGAATACACTACAGAACTGTATTGCAGTAGCAGTTTTTGAGCAAGGGGAATAAATTTGGGATGGTAACTGATGGTCTGTCTCTCTCTGTCTCCCCATCTCTGCGTCATCCTATCAGAAACAGCACCCAGTGAAAAGGAAAATTGGTAGAACAACCATTCACCAAGTTCTGAATGATATTTGAAGATTCTGCTACTCCTGAGGACACAAATCACCTTTTACACAATTATGGCTTTAGGTTAAAAATCTAACACCAAAGACTCTAAAGATTTTAGAATTTCATAGTCTGTATTGTTCTGGTCTGAATCAGACACACTCGTTTTTAATATTATATGTGGTTTATTTATATGTTTGGTGTCATGTTTTATTATTCTACTTGAAGTCAGTAAGTAACAAAATACCTCGTTCTTTCATTTAAAAAATCTTGTAATTGGTTCCTTAAATTTTGACTAACATTACATTTTAATTGAAGTGTGATAGCTGTGTGCTAAAAACAAATAAAAAATTTATTGTGACAAAGAAGGTTAAAAAGACTTCACCAGATTTAATGAAGCTAGAATAAATAGTCTTTGGTGTTGCAAAGAATGTTTTTCTTAATTTGTTCACAAGGTTACCTTGTCAGAGCTGGTTAATAGGGAAACAAAATCTTGCATATGCCTTGGACAATATCACAATCAATTACATCATCGCAATTTTTTTATATTATCATGATTAGCTTTAATAAGGTCTGAAAAATTGAATATTCTGTTGTGTATATGTATTGGTTTTAATACCCTGGATATAAATATAATCTTGCTTGCCCTGTAATGCTTTCTGTGTGTTCACCTGTTCTCTTTGCTTTGTATTTTTACTTTGTTCTTTTTTTAATGGTGTGACAACAAAATACCACTCTGCATAAAAGTGCTTTTAATTTTATGGAGCGCAGATCACTAGAGTGAGTTCCCTTATGTTAATGTATATAACTGTACCTCTTTATGTTTCCCATTTCCTTGATGCCGGTATCATTAGTTTAAACGGGCCTGTAAGCAGTTTGGTGTTCTGTTTTTAGTGGTGCCCCATTCACTTTGCTGGTTGTCATGTGGACTGTAAGTAGTGAAGTGGCATTTGCTCTCCAATGCCTGCTTTTCGCAGTGCCAGAAAAGCATTATTTTCTTTCCTTGACAAGTGGGAATGGTTTTCTTTCCTGCTTTCCCCAAAAAAATGCTTAAAGATGAACAATATACATTTCAAGCTGAAATGCAGTGTTTAACACATAAGGAAATCTATGCAACGAGTTACTCTCCCATCTTTTTTTCAGATTTAATAGGCGAAATAAAGCAGTCTATGATTAGGACAAAGCTTTACTGTTCCAGTATTTTGTTCTGGCTGCTGTTTACCTGCTGTATGTATGGACACAAGTGATGTAATCATCTGCTTCTTTATGTCTGTCATGTGGTACTAAATTAGAACACAATGGTATTGTTTTTGATCACAAATATTACTCAGAGCCCTTCCCTATATAGGTATTTTTGATTTTTTTTTGTTATGTGCTGTTGCAGTTTCAAAAATACAAGCTTTATAGAAAGATTTGAGTTGATGAAATGAATGTTTGTTTGTGTAATGACTCCTTTTCGTGTCACTCTATAACTAGTGAAAGGTGGCACAAAATTCATTTTGTCACTGCTATTTGAAACTGCTTGGTATATTTGGTTGGCTGTAAGTGAATGTATATTCTAGTTTGAAGTTAATTGTGCAGGATCTGGGGTAACAGATGCCAACTGATCATTGCAAATTCTGAATTTTCTCTCACAGAGACTGAAAGAACTAAAGCAAAGAGAATTTGCTCGAAATGTAGCTTCAAAATCGAGAAAAGATGAAAAGAAACAGGAAAAGGCACTCAAACGTCTCCATCAGCTTGCAGAGCTACGGAAACAGACAGAATGGTCAGTACACGTCAATGTTTAAACAACAGATGATGTATCAATATTTAAATGTTTACCCTCTTTGTTACTTGACTTTACATATTTTTCAAATTTCACAGTCACAGTGTCATGGAATGTGTGAGGTTCATTCAATAATTTTAGCTGTATAAGTAAAACAAAAAGTAAGTCAACTGAGTTGCTCTCTTACATTGACCTTTCTAACCTACAGTTAGACTGCCTTTAGACTGACAATACAGACAGAACTTTGCTATTACATCTTGTGTAGAGTAGTGAGGTCTGAGTACAACCAGTAAATGTGCCTCACCAGCAATGTCATAGTATCCTTAGAGAGCAAATAGCTGTTGACCTATGTGAAGACATTATGCCACCATTACAGTAGAGTAGCCATAATGGCATTTCTAGGAAAGCATTTTTTGTTTACCAGTCAGAAGTAGGCAGAAGTCAGAAATACCTGGTCAAAAAGATGTGTTACTGGCCATGTTAAATTAGCTGCCAGATTGGCCTTAAAATAGTTGCCAGTTGCCTATAGAAGATGTACGCTGGAATAGACATTTGCTGAAGACCACAAGAAAAACAAATTTAAGACTTTTATGATGATGTAATTTTGCAATGTCTAAATTCTCTCTTTGGAAATATGCTAATGTGTTATAAAATTCAGATATATATTTTCAAAATATTGCATGGGGTTAAAATACAAACATAACATTGGTGGGTTTGTCTGTTACAAGTATCATGACTTTCCTTCTTTTAATTTTGCTGTAAAACAATAACGCAGTTTCTTAAAATTGCAAAAGCAAGCCGAAGATCAAATAAACAGTGAAGGACTTTGGAGATGATGCTAGGTACTTGATCCAACAAATTGTTCAAGAATTTGAGATGTATAAAATACATAACAGGAGCACGGGTTGAATGGATATGCTGAAAATCATACTGGCAATTTTGGATTAGACGTGGACTTTCAAGGTAAAAGATAAATTGGTCTTAAGGATACATCAACTTCCATTACATTAAAAAATAGCAACATAACATTTTGGACCAGACCAAATCCACTCAAAGTATATTAAGAAGAGAGCCTGGTCCCTAACTTTTTCTTATTTTAAAGTTAAGGGCAGGGGTTGCATTCCAGATGCAATTTGATTGGTCAAACTACTGAACATTAAGCAAAATACACTTTATTTTTCTACTACAGTTAAAACACAGAAAAAATAAAAATAAAAGAATTGGCTTAACTGAAACTCAACAAAATGCTTAACCAAATTATAGATTAATGAACTATGACTAATTAACTGTTCCAGTATAGTAACTTCCTACAAACACACCCTTGGCAATGGCAAATTCAGTAAAATAGATTGTCTCACATACAATTCTAGCAGCAGGAAGAGAACCCCAGCTTTCAGCTGGAAGAGAGAGAGGAATAAGAGCTTCCACATCCAGCTTCAAGATCCAACAACTGCACAAAGCTAAAACCAAAAATCCTGGCTCTGTGAATGGGAGCTTGACACTAGCCATTCAGGCTGCTTCTCTTGTTCCAACTAAAACAAAAATCCCCAAGACCTCATAAGCTATTTACTTCATTGGCTTTGAGCAAGACCGCTCTTTCCTGTGTCTCAACCTTCCTTCATAAAAAAACCCAGACAAAATACACCTCTTAAAGCCATAGTATTGTCATAAATGATAGGTGCAACAGAAAGTAATGAATATTACATTGATTTTGAACTATCATAAAATGTGCATTTCAATTTGTATGCTCTGAAGTCTTAATGCCCTCTATGTGTAAAATAATTAAAACATAATAATGTATAATCATTTTATTACTTACACAAAATGCCTATGATCCAATTTAACAAGTTTTTGAACAATGCAAGTAACAGGTTCTTTGATATATATTCTAAATCTTGTATCAGCTGTTTCTTGCTCATTTCACTATCTAATTGACAAGTATTTACATTCTGTGAACTTCTTTCTGTATCCCTTTTTAATTGACATTCGACACGTAGGAGTAGTTGTAGAGATATGCTTTTTTCACCTTTGACTCCTAACTACAGACATCAGATAATGTGCAGAATTCCCTGAAGTGAACGAAAATTAATGTATTCAATTTGCAGTCATTTTCATTTGGGAGTTGGTTAATCAATGGTGAGCTCCTAGATGGCAGTTTAATAATGCAACATAAACTTCTGTCTATTCCAGTGTACGTCTTCTATAGCCAACTGGCAACTATTTTAAGGCCAATCTGGCAGCTAATTTAAGGTGGGTTGTGAAGAATAATCCCCACTGATGCAAGCAATTAGTTAAAGCAACATTGTTGTGCCAAGATAAAGCTCAGTCATTGGGGTAAAAAGTAAATGACATTTTCAGTGTGAAATCTCAGGGAATAAAAATTGCTGTTTCAGTCTGTGAAAGCTACTACAGACCTACAATTAGTTTCTATCACAATGAATTATTTTTAAGTTGAGGTCATAAACGATACAACACTTTTTATATTATCATACCAACTAATATTCACTAACTATATCTTGTTGATAATAATGGACAAAATATGAACATTAATGTATATTTAAGTAATAAGTATAAAAAGGATTTTTTTTCATAATTATTGACCAGTGGAACACTCAAAGATATTGAAATTGCAAGAAATTATCTCGGCAGTTATCCAAATAATAGAATCAAATATGAAATGATGTTACATTTTTCATTTTATTCTCATTCATTGCTATAAGGTCACTTATCTCACCTGTTTGGTTTTATGCAGTGCTCCAGGAAGTGGCCCTATGTTCAAACCTGCAACAGTGGCCATTGACAGTCACTCAAAAAGAGTTGCTGCTGGAACCGTTGCCAAAGACAGAGATACCGGAAGAAAGAGCAATACCAGGGCTTCATGCAAAAAAGAAGCACTGAAAAAGAATTTGGAAAATAGCCTGCAATCTACAGCACAAGTACAAAGCCAGTTAGGCTTAAAGCCCTTTAGTCTGTTCACAAATAAAAGCAGCTCATGTATCCCCGTCCACAAGGGTAGTATCTCATTTTCTTTCTCCAAAAAAGCTCCTGTGAAGCTAGAGTCATCAGCTTCAGTTTTCGATGATACCATTGAAGAAAAGCAAAGTGAGGACGAGCCTCAAAATTGCAAAGCGAAAGCTGAACCAGCAATGTTAGGTGTACCTGGAGGACAAAATAGCATGGCATGCACCGAAAATAATGAGCAAATGAAACAGTCTCAGATGGACAGTGGCATTGGGAGCAATCCTTTTGCAAGAGTTAAAAAGCTGAAGGCACTGATGTTGAAGGAAAATAAGGATGAAGAAGGAAAGGAATATTATTGTTATACTCCTACACTTTACAAAACCAAGACAAAGTTCCCTTTCTTATTATTCATGAAATCATCTGAGACAACAGATGCAGGCAAACTGTCGGTCCACAATGAGAAAAACAAAGGGTTTCATACTGACAGCAGTAACTTCAAATGTCGTGAGATCTCTGAAATTGGAGATGGACAGCATGAGGTCAGAGATACCAAGAAAATGGCCGCACCTCAATTAAATTATCTCGCTTGTCAGCAGACACCCAATCAAGAGGATGGGAAAACATTGGATCAGGATACTTGCAAGATGAAAAATGAAGCATTGTCCACGTTTAGTGAGAAACAGACAGAACCTAAGTTGAGCAGGCTGGAATCATCACACAAGCCAAAGCCAATAACTGGGCCCTTCCTTCATGTGCTAAGTAGAGACGGATCAACAATACTTCAATGGCCGTCAGAACTTCTACTGTTCACACAGACTGAGCCGTCCATCTCGTACAGCTGCAATCCGTTGTATTTTGATTTTAAACTGTCAAGAAACAAAAATCGAGAGAATGGGACCACAGAGCCAGAATCTAATATGGAGCATCAGCATAATGTAGCTGTTGCAATTAACGAAGACAATGGAGCTGGCATAAGAGAAGCACAAAATATAAGTGTGGCGATTGAGGAAGATTTGAAGCAGAGAAAACTAATAGGATCACGCAAATCAAAGAAAAGGAAGCGCCACCACAAAACTGACAAGAGATTGAAGCAGAAACCTGAGAATGGCTATGTAGAAAATGTGATCAAAAAAGCAAAAGGGAAAAGGTACAAACATAATCTGAAAGAAAAGGATAAATATGCTTTGAAAATAACAGACCCGGAATCGCAGAGTACTGAGGAAGATTTGAAAGAGGAAAAATATTCCAAACTAACCCCAAAACGCTTTTTACAGGATGGGAATTCCAGCACAAATGAGGAACTGGAGCACATCAGCAGCAGTGTTATTAAGAAACCATCAGTTTCTCCTCTTGGTTTAAGCAACAAGAAACAGAAGATTTCACCAGATAATTCTTTAAGTAGTTCCAAAGAAATGTGTGAAAACCAAAAGATGCACAAATTCAGACATAACAGCCTAAATTTGAACTGCAATGAGACCAGTAGCATTAAGGAACTCCACAGAGAGGACCATAAATCATCTTCACATTGTAGCTATGAAGATGGCTCAGAAAGTAACAGAAGTAATTGCCGAAAATCCAGAAGCTATTCATCTTCCCATGGCTCATCATTTAGGTCATCTTCTGATACCTCAAGTGACCGCAGTAGGACTAGTCATAGTAGTAGAAATTATTCTGATAGATCAAGTGATTACAGTCAGAGAAGTCAGTCTCGGTATTGCTCAAAAATGCATCAAAGGTCACATTGTAATCACAAATGTCATTCTAAGCGTAAAAAGAACAGGTACAGCTATTCATCAGTGTCATCATTATCCTCTGATAATGACCATCACCATAGGAAAAGAAGTGTCAGCCGAAGCAGAAGCCGAGACAACACCCGTAGGACTCATTCATGTACAAAAGGCCGAATTCACGGCAGAAGCAGAAATTCTAGCAGTAGCCAACATCACAGCAGAAGTAGAAGCAGATATAGGAGCAGGTCAAGGCATAGCTGGAATAGACAAGAAAGTCCCATTAAAGATTACTCAAGCAGTAGACATCCTAGTTTGAGGAGGTCATGTTCTCGAAACAAAGAACAGTGTAGGAAAGATATATCTAATGAGGCTAGACACAGAAGTTCCACATCTTTCTCAAAAGACAGAGTGTATCATATAAAATCATCCCTATGCTATAGTGACTGTCATGAGATACAAAGAGGAACAGAAAAATTCCATGGAACAATAAAGAATGAAGATATAATACAGAATCACAGCTCGATGTCACCCAGCTTATTCCAGAAGAATTATACCGTTGGTTGCCCCATTCTAAATTTGAAGGAAATGATTAAAGATGAAAAAAAATCCGAGGTAACACAGCACCTGTTAGAAAAACTGCAATGTAACAAAATTGAAGAAGGGAAAAATACAGCAGGAAACTTAACATCAGCATCGACTTCACTAGATTTAAACCTGAACTATCCTGCACAAGGTTATTGCAGCCCCAGACTTCCTCCCTCTGTGGATAATATGACATTGTTGTCTGTAATTGGAAAGTTAGCTGCAACAGAAAAGGTAGTTGAAAAAAATGATGATAGAAGCAAAAAGGTTAGCATTGACAAAGCAGATGAGTCTGAAAACTCAAAATGGACTGAAAATGAAACAGCGTCGACTACAAACCAAGAACAGGGCCTTCTTCTGAAAGAAGTACATGAGGATAAAACAGACGTAGAAGAAGGATCAATGAACAGTCTAATAAAAACTGCCGAGGATGAACAGATAGGCCCGACTATATATCAAGTCCAGCCTGCTGAAGAAGATGTGACCCCAGTCCCTGAAAATATGTCCAATGTTGTTTCCTGTGTTACTGATGATTTCGACAATAGTTCAATGGTGGTCAAAGAGGAACATTCCCAAATGACTTTTTATGATTTTAGTGATACAAATTCTGTTCCAGTGGGAGACGTTACCTTTGATTATTACAACACTAACTCGGAGAATGTTGACAAAATGGATCGTCCATTCATGGAGACTGCTAAATCAAACTCAACCGCTTTGGCTAGCCAGCCTATAACCTTCACACCCGAAGAAATGGAGAAATATAGCAAATTGCAATTACAGGCACAGCAACATATCCAGCAACAGTTTCTCGCCAAACAGGTTAAGACATTCCCATCATCTGCGTCGCTTGCTTTCTCTCCAGTGCCAGCATTTCAGCCTGTTTCCATTCAGCAGCCATCCGCTGCTGCTGCTACAGTTACCACTGTTCACCACACTCTCCTCCAACATCACGCTGCGGCCACTCTTACAGCTGCTCTCCACCCCAATGCCCACCAGCAAGCGATGACACAGCTTCACCATATCACCCAGCCACATATCACACCCTTTACCTTCTCTCCAATTACTCATTCTATTTTTCCTGCTCACCCCACCACATTCCTAGCTGGCCACCCACTGCATTTCGTCCCTGCAGCGGCAATCCACCCAGCCCAGCTGGCACTTCACCCACTGCCACACACTACTCTCTGTCCGACTCTATTTGCCCCTCACCCAGTTGCAGCAGCAGCTGCTGCTTCAGCTATTCATTTTCACCCTTTGCTTCATCCTCTGTTCCCAGGACATGATCTGCAACATCGCTCCACTCCAAACACCTGAGAGAAACTATTCAGAAGTTAATAAGATGTTAAGACCAGTCTTAAATACCTTGGTTTCTTCATGGTAGTGGCAAAAAGTAGCTAAAAGGATATATTGCAAATGACTTTGGTCTTCCTGAGCTGAGGTATTTCATGTGGGTTCTTGTCAGACTTGCTTTTAATGAAATTCTTAGATGGTGACAACTCAATGCCCTGTGCATTATATATGCTTTTAATGTCCTAGATTCCATTTGCCTTAGTATTAACAATAACTATGTGAAAGTATCATGGTATTTTTCAGATGGTCTTCTCAAATTTGCCCTTAGGATAGAGCAGCCTTTTGTTAGAATACTTGGGTCATTGATCATCTTCACAATTTTAAATGCTTCAAATCCAATGTATGGATTCATATCAAAATTTCCATATAACTATTCTCCAGATATGCTCTTTCTGAGTTAACTTGAATGTATTACATTTGTATTTTATGCTGTTAATAGCTTTTTAGACTTTTGGTTGACTTGAAAAATGTAATCTTTAAAGCATTTGTATTTTGTGTAAAAATAAAGCAGAGTGCAGTGTAAGTGGATAGAATTGCACTGAATACAGTACTTGCAGTGCTGCGTTGTTAAGTTTTTTTTCCATACAAAATGGGAATATAGTTCTAAATAATGCAATAATATTTTTCCATAATATATTTGGTTCTATCAATTAATGATATTGTACATAATGTAGTTCCTAATGTAAATAAAGTCAATGCAGTAAAGCATTACTTTAAAAATAAAAATCTGTACGATATTCTCCCAACCAGGAATATTATCTTTTTATTTCATGTATTGTATAGTTGTCTTGAAATTTGTTAGGGTTTACAAAGTGTCTGTATGATACTCTGTGCTGAAGATTAATGATTGTTATATGGCAGGAGTTGGAAATAAATTGTGGCAAAACCGACTGGAATGAAGTTGTTACGTTTTATGTAAATTGTAAAGGTAAACAACTTTGGGTTCCAATCTAAACTTACCTATTTTACAGCATGCACTAAACTGTGAAGATCTTACCTTCCACTAAGATACAGCTTCTGTGGTTTTAAAAGATTGCCTGTACTGTAAGGCATTTTTCATAAAGCACCGCATGGACACTACAGTAACTCCATTCATTTTATTGAGAGACTGTTGAGTAAATCATAGCTTGTCAGAACAGTGGCAGGCCTGATATTACAAGAAGGAATAAAGAGTATATTAGTACACGTTGTCAGCAGAATGGAGCATTTAAGCTGCAAATGTAGGCATTCACTGATGTACTCTTACAAAAGATTCAATCATGTAGAACCCACAAACCCTGTTGAGTTTTGGCACCAATTATAGCCCCAATCACCAAACAGTCTCTTCTGTGATAAACACTTCAAAGTACATTCAAGCAAAAGGTCACTTAGCATGTAAGAAACTCCCGACAAATTAGTACCTGGGTGTGCTTCTTTTATGTAAAGTGCAGTTTTAGGAAAGATTTTTCTTCCTTTTCTCCAGTTTTCTCTCTTTACCTCATGTGGACAGTGGGGTAATGATAGCAACAGCAGCTCAAAGTAATCAATCATTTTTGTATGTGGTTAGATTAATATCAGCAGACTGTTCAGCGCTGGATACCAGCATAGGCAAATTCAGTCCTGGTCAGGCTCACCATTCAGCAGTATGTTGAGCAGGTTTCTGTTCACATTTTCAATGAAACATTGGAATTGTTTTATTTTTTTGATTTTTTTTATTTTAAAATCTGTAGTGAAGGCACATGCACTTGTATAAATACAAAACCAAGTGTTTAATGAAATATTACGATACTATATCATCTATTGTGGCTCACTGTTATACTAACTATGCCTTTGGTCTCTACACTCCACGCAAAGAACTAATAAATAATAACAATATATCAAAGAACTGTGCCTGTGACATCGAAAAAAAAAGTTGGAGCCAAAAAGCACATTTAATTCTTTACAATTGCTTTTAATGATTCAAGTACATTTATTATATTGACCTTCTGCTCCATGGTTATACTACAGTTTTTTTTATCACAATAAACACAAGCAACTAGAGCATATCAATGAATGGAAGTATAATGGATTTGCAGAAGCTGATCTCACAGCCTATCAAACACGTGATTGAATTTCATACATTGCATCAATGCCTTAACATTAACTATATAGCCTTAACTAGGGTTCACATATACAAAATATCCATTCTCAGTAAAAACTATTTTAACTCACTAAATGCTCATCCCACAATAAGATAGATAACAATTTGAATATTGGTTCTCATTCTGTGGGTGAAATTAATGCCTCCTCCCACAACTTGGAGGCAGGTATAGAGATGGGAGAAACATTTGATTTGATGAGATATTGCAGGGTTACATACCCTACTATCTCCTCACCTCCACCAGGTTAAATACAGGATGAAAGGACAAGCCTAACCAACCAGATGGTAATTGAAATCCTTAAGTGGATAATTACAGCCCACTCAAAGGTTTCAACCCATCACTGCTAGTATATAAGCTGTGATAGATGGCGATTTGCCAAATGGGGAAATGGATAAGCAATTCAGACTTCTGGTAAAGGGCTTTCATTCAAGGGCTCTCTGATTGAGAGGGCTGGCCTGTGAAAAGGTGATCCCACTGCCTTTTCCTCTGAGCTCCCTGTCACACACTGTCCAACCAACTGCTGACTCCCTCCTTACGATCACCATGTCACCCTCCCTCAGTTGTGGCCTGGATCCTTCAGTGATCTGCCTTTCCCTGGGTACATTCCTCTGGTATCATCACCAGCAATACAGAATTATCAAATTCTGGTTGGCCAACAGTTCTCTGGGGTCCAGGATTTTCATCACTGGTGTTCGGGAGGTCCACAGGTCAGTAAAATGCGTGCTAAACACTTTTTTTTTGTTGGACCTTGCCCAACAGAGACAAAATGGGATGACAACCCACCACCAAGATTAAATTACACACTATGCAATTCAGGGGCATCAAGGCTGATTGTGATTATCCCATAATTGGCAATAATTGATCAACTCAGCAATTATTAAGATTCAATTCTGTGACTTATGTGGCTCAATAGCTCACCATTCACCACTTACATTCACTAGAAAGCAGTTATCACTGGAAAGGCCAGCATTTGATGCTTGTCTTTAGTTGCCCTTGAACCATTTGACTCTCTAGGTCATTGCAGAGGGTTGTTAACAGTCAACCACATTACTGTGAGTCTGGAGCCAAATATATGTAAACCAGGTGAGGACGGCAGATTTCTTTCCCTCAAAGGCACTTGTGAAGTCGATAGGCTTTTATGATGATCGGCATACTGTCACTACTAGACTAGCTTTTTAATTCCAGACTTTATTGAATTCAACTTTCGCCATCTGCTGTAGTAGGATTTGAACCCGTATCTCTTGAACATTAGCCTGAGGCTCTGGATTAATAGTCCATCGACATTACTATTATGCCCCTGCTTTGACTGATTATTGCTGTTAAGTTTAGATGTTGAATTTATTTTGTGATCTTATCTCAGACAAATGCCTATTATTATTGTTTAATTTATTAAACTGTCAGCAAGAACAAGTGCATAACCACATTGCCAATTAGAGAGATTTAAAAGTAGCTGATACTCAAAACTTCTTAAGCCATTTTAAAAATAAATAAATAAATCCAGTGTAAAGAGAAGAACAGCAAACACAGATCATTTTTTGCTCTCGGCATATCTACTACATGTACCCAGGAATAACACTGTCAGAGTAGTTTGTATGTAATAGACTCAATGTGGATTGGCACAATCATCTGCAAAAAGGTAGGTTCGTTTTAGTTTGCACAGTTGCTTGTTTCAGAACATTAGTAGTTCCAACTGAATTCAACATTTTCAAAAGGCAGTCTGCATGCAAAGCATGATATCTTCTGACCTTTTCTTGACATTACTGTGCTTGTCTTAAGGCCTCCGGTGTCACCAAAAAGCATCTGGTGTAGCTTTTACATTAATCCTGACCTTCTATATGTCCTTCAGTGAAACCTCTTTCGGTTAGCAGCAGTGACAGCATGAAATGAAAGAATGAGGGAAAACTTAAGATCTCAGTTGGTCTTTGAATGGGTTCATTTTACATGACATTCCCAAACAGACTGAAGGACACAGGTGTGCACTGACCCAGCAAAATGACATTTGTCACAGAATCGCAGCCTTGTATTTGCACTGTAAGACAGCTTGTTAACTAACTCAAAACTCAAAAGAAAATTGCACAAATGTCATGTGAAACTGGTCAGACATAATGACATCGTCTCATATGACATTTGTGCTAATTCTTTTTGAGATTTGACATTGTTAATTGGCTGTCTTACAGTGCAAATACAAAGTTGCAATTCTGTGACAAATGTCTTTTAGCTGGGTCATAGTGCATCTCTATCCTTCATTGGAGATAATGTCTTGTCACATAAACCCATTTAAAGACCAACTTAGATCTGAAAGTTTTCATCCGTCTTTCAGTTAATGCAGACATTGCTGGTACTTTACAGTAATAACGTTATCTTCTGAAAGGAAAATCATGTTTTAACAATTTATTCGACTTCTTTGAGGAAGCAACATGTGCTGTGGATAAAGATGAACCGGTGGTTGTACTGTACTTAGCTTTTCAGAAAGTATTTGAGAAGGTGAGACATCAAAGGTTTTCACAGAAAATAAAAGCTCAAGGCACAGGAGTAACATAGAGTTGTACAGCAGGGAAACAGACCCATCGGTCCAATATGTCCATGCAGACCAGATATCTTAAATTAATCTAGTCCCATTTGACAGAATTTGGCCCATATACCTCTAAACCCTTCCTATTCCAACCCATCCAGATACCTTTTAAATGTTGTAATTGTACCAGCCTCCTCCACTTCCTCTGGCAGCTCATTCCATACACATACAGCGCCCACGTGAAAAAGTTGCCACTCAGATCCCTTTTCAATCATCCCCCTCTCACTTTGAACCTATGCCCTCTAATTTTGGACTCCCCTACCCTGGGAAAA